AAAAAAGCCGGAAGTGGTGCTGTGGCTCAAGTGGTAGAGTGCTAGCCTTGAGCTGAAGAGCTGAGGGACAGCGCCCAGGCCCAGAGTTCAGGCCGGACCAAAAAACAAAAACAAAAAAAAAAAGAACTTACTGAAGCTGGTGCTGGGTGGGACAGAGAGTGGCCATGGAGATGACCCTGGAAAGGCCCATTGATCTGGAAATGGCGAGCGTGCCGCGTGCCCCATGACTTGGTCAGGTGGTAAGCTGAGGGGAAGGGAGGAGGTGTTAGGGGTGAAGAACCAGCTGTGGCCGGGGCAGCGAGGCGGCCAGAGGCCGGGGCAGCGAGGCCGCTGGCCCAGCCTTCACAGGGCCTGCTGGGAAAGGTTCATCCTACAAGGCCTGTCCTGAGCCCGGCCTTGAAGGTTACAAAGTGGATTTCCGTCTAATTCAGGTTTTTGCCAATAACCTTGGACTAGTCACTCACCTTTCCTAAGCCTGGGTTCCTTCACCTGTGAAGCAGGAATGAAAACAGCCTCCGCTTAACCCTTTTAATGAAGCTGCCCAAGAGGCCACTCAGGGTCTGGGCGGCGCCGAGCTCGGGACCACGCCCCTTTGTCCAAGCCACGCCCAAACAACCGAACACAACCACGCCCCTATTCGGACCCGCCTCCACGGAATCGCCCCGCGCGCCGGCCACGCCCCGCGTAGGCCACGCCCCTTGCCACCACGCCCCTACCTGAACGCGCCCTGGTTGCCCAGGTCTCCCTTTCACAAGCTCCGGGGAGCGAGTCCAGAAGGACCTCGCCACACCAGCTGTCCGCCGACCCCCCATCCCTGTCCCCGCGCCCATGGCCACGCCGGGACCCCGAGCCTTGCGGGCTGCGCTGTGCGGCGGCTGTTGCTGCCTCCTCCTGTGTGCCCAGCTCGCTGTGGCTGGTAAGACCAGGCAGGTCTGATGAGCGGGCCAGGCAGGGGCCGGGGGAGCTTGCCCCTCACTCAGCCCCGGTCCCCGGCGCCGTCGGGGCTTGCGGGAGAGCGAGGAAGCGTTCCCCACACGGGCGGGGCTCCAGGGGTGGGAGAAGGGGGCGCCAGCCGTGTGGAGCCCCAAGCGCACTGCGTGGTCTCCAGGTGAGGGGGGGGGCGCGTAGGAGCTTCAGGTGTTTCTGGCAGGCAGAGCCCCACACAGACTGGGGAACTTCGGGTGCGTGCAAAGGAAGGGGATCCGGAGGGGGGAGGGAGGCTAGGCGAGTGTAACCCCGAGTTGGTGCAAGTTCCAGATGTGTGCAAAGTGTGAGATTCCCTCTAAGGGTGAGGGTCTGGAGTGGGGGAAGGGGGGCCGCGGCTTGGCCACCTGGAATGGTTCTCTGGCTCTCTTCCGGCTCCTGCCCACTCCCAGGTAAAGGAGCTCGAGGCTTTGGGCGGGCAGCCCTGATCCGCCTGAACATCTGGCCAGCTGACCAAGGAGGCTGCGCAAAGCTGGAGGCCTGTGAGCGTTGTGTGGAGGGGGACAGAGCACACAACCTGTCCCACTGCGTCTGGCAGCACTGTCAGCCAGAAGAGCCAGGTACAGAACAGGGTCCCCCCCAAGTCCAGCCGTCCCCCAGTTCTCAACCACAGAACCTTCCTCTCCCTAAAAGTCTGACCTGTACCTTCCTCCACCAGGACACTGTGTGGCCCAAGCTGAGATGACCAAGGAGGGTTGCTCTGTCTACAACCACTCAGAGTCATGTCCAGGTAAGGAAGTGCCCGCCGACCTAAGCCAACTTGCCGGCAGAGCGCTGAGGTTTCCCCAGCCACAGCCTGCTTCCAAGAGAAACCAGCTTCTCTGGAAGTGGATTGTGCCCACACACACTTGGGTACAGTTTCAATTCTGCCTTTAGTTCCCAAAGAAGTCTCCCTTCCCCTCTCGGGCAGTTTCCTCATCTGTAACTTGGTCCAGTTGTGCTGAGGGGTGCAGGCATTAGCACTTTCTCTAATGCACGGCTTGGAAGGGAAGAGAGACTTCCTGGAGGAAGTGGCATCTGATATGGGCCTGTAGGCAGAGAGGGAGAAAGCTTAGTTGGTGGGGGGATCTGCGGGGGTGGCGGGGGGCTAAGGCTTAAAAATATGTTGGGTATTGAGAGCTGGACAGGATCTGATCTGAGTCAGAGCCCAAACTGCTGGCCCAGGGCTTGGGTCTTGGGTGGGAGGACTGTGTTACCATGATATCCTGTCTTCTCAGCTGCCCACCATCACCCCACCTATGAACCGAAGACAATCACAACAGGTAGGTACTGCCTGGGAGGTGGGTGGAACACAAGGGGTTGTAGTCAAGGACAGAGTGAAGTCAGGCACTGTCATGCTCCCTGATCAGCCCTCCAAGTGCTCCACATCAGTCCACATCTGTAAGATGAGTTAGGCAACATCTGCCCCACAGAGCTGTGGCAAACATTTTATGGGACTGAGTAAGATCTGCTTGCTTCAATGTCTGGACACACTGGAAGTGAATCAGAAATGGCAGCTCCCATCCCTTCCCCAGCACCAGTTCTAGCCGGAGTGACCTCTGGGGACCTGTCCTTGAAGCTGGGCGGGAGAAGTGGGCTCCATTATTCCACGAGATGTCCTGGATGGCTACATGCTGCAACCTGAGGGTCCATAGGGCAGATGTTTAGCAGAGCCAGGGCCAGAGCTCCACCCTGTGCTTCCCATTGCCCCTCAGGACCTGGAGGTCACCAGACTTGGTCAGCATGGCTGAAAAGGCTCTTGGTTAATTAAAGCCAGAAACTGATCTCAGAGGCTGAATTATTGATGGCTCAGCTCCCTTGGCTCAAGCCCCAGATCTGCCGTATGCAGTTCATTTCTTCTCTTTTTTCTCTTCCCTGCATCCTCCTTTAGGGCTCCCTGAGCTGCAGGTAGACCATGCTTTCCCCTTCATAGGCTCAGACCCCCTTATGCCACCCTTAGTCCCTGGGCAGTGGACCCCATTCCCATCCCATTCCCTGTCCACTGTCCCAGAATCATCTAATACCTACCAGAGCTGCCCTGCTCTGGGCACCTGGCCCAGGACCTGAAATTGAATCCCTGATAGGAGTTAATGGTAACATGGCACATCTGGGAGCCATCCAGGCCTAGATTGGCAACTACACATCCCTAAGGTTGTACCCTTGCAGGGACAGAGGGAAGGGTCAAGGGGGGCCTGGGAGTCCAGCTCTGTCCTACTGAGGAGGTGGCTTGCCAGGTCTATACCATCTGCTAGTCTCCACCTCCATTCAGTGGGTGTTGGCTCTGAGGCCTCCACCTTCCCCCTCTGCTCCTCCTCCTTGGAGTGAGACCTCCAGGCTTAAGAGGCTTGGGAAGGGACCACATCATCTCAATTGGGGTTGGAGCCCTGAGACCCTTTGGCTGACAGAAGGTCTGGGTGCCTGCATTGTGGGTCCACCCTTACTCTCTTGGACTAATGACAGGCAGATGGGCCGGAGGAGAGCTTCGCTGCTATCTGGTCCCACTCAGCCTATGGGACCCATGTGACCAGGAGACTCAGAGTGCGTGTGCATGCCACTGAGCCATGGAGCAGTTCAGGAGCAGGGCCAGGACTGGCCAAGGCCCACCTCTCCAGCCCCATCCCTTCCACCAGCCGCTGCCCCTTAGCTTTTCTGCTCAAGGCTGACATTCTTTCACTTGAGCCACAACTCCACTTCTGGCCTTTTACTCGTTCATTGGAAATCGGAGTCTCATGAACTTCCCTGCTTACTGCTCAGACTGGCTTCAAACCTTGATACTCAGATCTCAGCCTCCTGAGTAGCTGATCTGGATTTCTAAGCCTAGTAGTCTAGGTCCCATGGTGAGGCTTGGCACTTCTAGGCTTCCTGGGATCCTGGACCCCTCTGGCCTGCTGTGACCTCTGCCCTCCCCTCACCCTAGGCAGCCCGGCAGTCCCTGAAGATCATGGCCCTGGCTTTGACGGGGCCAGCTTCATTGGGGGTGTGGTGCTGGTGCTGAGCCTGCAGGCAGTGGCCTTCTTCGTGATACGCTTCCTCAAGGCCAAGGACAGCACTTACCAGACACTGTGAGTACCTGGTGAGCAGGTGGGAGGGGGCCAGCTCCCTTCCCAACTCCCTCCTCACCAGGGAACTACCTTTCCTGGGCCCAAGAAAGGGATAATGACTTTCTCCCAGCATCCCCTGCGGGAGCCACGCCCCTTTCTTTCTCCTCCAGTTCAGACTGTCTCTGCCAGATGTTAGCTGGGATCAGGACTCAGCCCTGGCCCCAGTGTCTGGGAGTCCAGCTGAGCCCCCTGTGTCTTTGTTCCCTCATGCTGCCAGCAGGGAGGAGAACCAGTAGGTGGCAGCCCCAGCGGGTCCTCAAGCCACAGCCTGGGGCTGTGTGTACAGTGTGCTTTCCTGCGAGGAGGGAGGGTGTGTGAAGCCTCCAGCGTTCTGTGTGTCGTGAGATGGGGGGGCATAGCCGGTATTGAAGTGTTTGCTTTTCTAGCTGCACCTGCTCTCTGCCTGAGGAGGCGCCTCCCTAAATGTCTTCTCTGTCTGGCCTCCACAGAATCTGACCCTCGTGGGTCTGGATGCCACCCTACAGGACACCAAGGCTGCTCTCTTTGGCTGCCTTGTGGGCACTGGGGTGGGAAAAACTTTGGCCACCAGTGTCTGTCCCCTGCGGGCATCAGGCACACAACAGGCCCAGAGCTAGTGCCTTGACATCCCCTCCAGTCCTGGGCCAGACACCTGCAGCTGAGAGCACCCCTCCACCACCTCATGTCTCCTCTGTTGTCTCTTCTGGACATCCAGACTGGTACCTGGGGGCCGTGCTGTCTCTTCCCACTAACCCAGCCTGGACAGGCTGCCCCCAAATAAACAGTCTGTTTCCATTCTGTGCTTCCTGTCTGGTGTCTCAGGCCGTATGTGGGTGGGGGAGGGGATGGCCACAGCCCTCTCCTTGGCAGAAATTCTTCCCAACACTGTAGTTGTCTCCCTTCAAGATATTTGCAAGCCAAGTGCAGCAGTTCACGCTTGTAAGCTCAGCCTTTGAGAACCTGAAGTAGACCGAATGATTGAGCGTTGAAACCAGCCAGGGCTATACAGCAAGACTTTGTCTACAAAGGAAATAAAAACAGGGCCAAGAACATGGCTCGGCAGTACAGTGCCTACCTAGCAAGCACAAAGCTCTGAGTTCAAACCCCACTGCCACAAAACAAAAGCAACAAAGTGGGGGAGGCTGGTTCTATCCACGTCGTTCTGTGAACTCCCCTCCTTGAAGGTCACATGCACCCTGTGACTTGTCCAGATGGTCGTCATTGATTTGCCCAGGTAACTACCAATGGCTGGTGGCATCATTTCCGTGTTGACTCTCATAAACAGCCATGGCAAACAGGCTCACCGGCAGACTTTGGCACACACGTGAAGGCTTGGGGGAGGACAGATTCCCAGGGTCTCAGGGGAATCTCAGGGATCCAGGCAGGGGTGAGGAAACATTTTTTCTGCCATTTGGATATTTAGAGCATCATTCCTGGACCATTTCAAATTATCCACACAGACAGGTGGCTAAAGGCAGCCAACAAGAAGCGTAGGAGAAATGTACATGACTGTGCTATCATATACCAAATGATTTGTCCCTTAGCTTTTTCTCTCTATATGGCCCATAGGCTGGACATTTAGCTTAGCAGGTACCTCAGTCCTGTTCACTCACTAGGCCTAGCACAGGAAGGTTTATTGAATGAAGAAGAGCTCACACCCAGGCTGGGAATGTGGCTTAGTGGTAGAGTGCTTGCCTAGTGTGCATGACACCTTGGGTTTGATTCCTCAGTACCACCTACACAGAAAAAGCCAGAACTACTGGATGTTGGTGGCTCATGCTTGTAATCCTAGCCACTCAAGAGGCTGAGATCTGAGGATCACAGTTCAAAGCCAGTCCACACAGGAAAGTCTGTGAGACTCTTATCTCCAATGAACCACCAGAAACCAGAAGTGGTACAGTGGCTCAAGCGATAGAGTGCTAGCCTTGAGCTGAAGAGCTGAGGGACAGTGCCCAGGCCCAGAGTTCAAGCCCCAGGACTGACAAAAAAAAAAAAAAAGAAAAGAAAAGGAAGGAAGGAAGGAAGAAAGAAAGAAGAAAAAAAAAAGAAGTGGCATTGTGACTCAAGTGGTAAAAGTGATTGCCTTGCACAAAAGCACCTCAGGAACAGTGCCTAGGCCCTGAGTTCAAGCCCCAGGACTGGCAAGAAAGAGAGAGAGAGAGAGAGAGAGAGAGAGAGGTCATACCTTTCCTCTCTTCCCCTATCTCCTGATGTTCTGCTCATGCTCAGTTCTGACCTCACAAACAGACCATGGCTGTCTGGGAGCACCCCCGCCCCACACCCCAATGGGCCACCCACTTGATTGTTCTGAAGCCCTGAGATTCAAACCTGTCGGCTTCCTCCCTTCCCACAGAGGGATGCAGGATGCATGGTGCTTAGGGAAAAGCTCTGGGCATGTAAGTGCCAGAGAGCAAAATCGTGTCCCATGTCCTGTCTCTGGGCTCCAGGTATTCTCCTTTATTCATATATTGGCGCTACTGGATGGAATCCTGGGCCTCACATGGCCAAGTGCAACTGTACAATCAGACTTCACCCCTAGACACTTCACAAATGTTTTGCACATTTGTTGGTGGTGGTGGTGGTACTGGGGAGTGAACTCGGGGCTTCCTGCTAGCTAGACAAGCACTCTACTACTTAATAAACTGATGCTCATTAGGCACCTATTCTGCAAGGTCTATAGCCATGGCCAGTTATAACAGGGCACATAAGGGTCAGAGGTAATGTACAAACCACTCAGGGTGACCTAGTGAGGTAGGAGTACTATAAATGACACCAGTGGTCACTATTATTTTGCTTGCCTCAGTACTGTGGTCCTGAACTCAGGGCCTGGCTGCTGTCCCTTAGCTTTTTCTCTCAAGCCTGGCATTCTACCATTTGAGCTACTGCTTCACTTCCAGCTTTTTGGTGGTTAATTGGAGATGAATCTCATAGACTTTCCTGCCTGGGCTGGCTTTGCACCATGACCCTCAGATTTCAGCTTCCAGAGTTGCTAGGATTACAGGTGTGAGCCATTGGTGCCCAACTTCCAGTGTTCACTATTAATAATACTGACAAGCCAGGCTTGTCAGTGGCTCATGCCTGTAATCCTAGCTCCTCTGAAGGCTGAGATCTGAGGATCGAGGTTCAAAGCCAGCCTGGGCAGGAAAATCCCTGAGATTCTTATCTCCAATAAACCACTCAAAAAAAACGGAAGTGGTGCTGTGGCTCAAGTGGTAGAGCGCTAGCCTTGAGCTGAAAAGCTGAGGGACAGCACCCAGGCCCAGAGTTCAAGCCCCACAACCACCACCAACAAAATAATAATAATATTGACAAGGACCAAGAAGGACAAGGATAGGGAGACGACATTCACAGACAGGTGGAACTTTGCAGAAGAGGTTAGACCTGCAGACGGAAGGATCATGTGAGCTAAGGCTCAAAGGTGAGAGAATCCAAATGATTCTATCCTGGCTGGACAGGAGGGGGACGAAGCCAGTTCTCTCTGGGGCTAAGGAAGGAAATGTTCGTATCTGAGATAGATCCAGCCTGGGTGGAGTGTTCCCGAGGGACAATGGGAGGAAATTTTGCTTACATCTTCCCACCAGCCTGGTCCTTATAAGCTGGCCGTCTTCCTCTGGTGGTCCCAGCAAGATGGACTTACAGTGGACCCCATTTTGCTTGCTGCTCCTCTTAGTTTTGGGGCCTGCCTATCTGAAGACTCAGGACCACCTCAGCTGTCCAGGTAAGGGCCTAAGGAATTCTCCTCCCCAACCCCCCCTCATCCCCCCCTACTCCAAGGAGCAAGACTAGAATTTGAGAATGCAAATGCATGCAAATTGGATGGAAACAATGCAAAACCTTGTCAACTCAGGAGAGAACATTCTGACAGCTGGAATCTGGGAGCTAGAAAGAGAACTGCAGAGGGGTCTGGGAGAGACACACATCCATGGTGCCCACCAGCCCTGTGCCTCCATGCAGAACCCAAGGAGCTGGAAGCCAGCAAAGTTGTGGTCCTGTCCAGCTGTCCGGGAGCCCCTGGAAGCCCTGGGGAGAAGGGAGTTCCAGGTCCTCAAGGTGAGAGATGCTGGGGAGTTGTCAGGGCCCGTAGGGTAACGAGGGAGGCTGGGTGTCACGAAAAAAGGGCAGGACTGACAGGTACAGGGAGCAGAAATGGTTTGTCTCCAATCACAGAACCAGAACAGGGTGAAGATGGGGTTGGGGGATCTTAGGGCTTCAACCTCCATTGTACTTTGATCCTGAGTCTGTCTGCCTCTGGGATTTCAGGGCCACCTGGACCACCAGGCGAGATGGGGCCCCAGGGTGAGCCTGGTGAGTATGTAGACTGCCACCTCCACTGCTTCCTGCACTCTATCCCAGATGGGGGGGGGGAGGTCTGTATGGCTGCCATCAGCAATCAGCTGTGCCCGCCTGCCCCTGGGGGTGGAAGGCTGGGCTATGTGGAGAGAGCGAGGAGAAGGGCCTGGGCTCCCCCCCACTGGCAGTTTCTGGGCATTCTCTTAGGGGTGCTCAGACCTCAGAGCTGTCATCTTCCTCTTCCTCCCTTCAGGAGACCCCTCGAGCCTGCTCCGGTGTCAAGAAGGTAAGGTTCCTTCTTCAGAGCCAGCAACTTGGAATCGGGCTGAGCTGGGGTGTTGGTGGCTCTTCCTGTCAGCCCTTCCTAGAGGCCCCCTCGGGGAGTTCAAAGGGGCTGAGAGGGTGCCTGGCTCCTACATTTGTTCCAGAGCCTGGGTGGAAAGGTTTGGGTAGTAACTTTTTTTTTTTCTTTTGTCGATCGTGGGGCTTGAACTCAGGGCCTGGGCGCTGTCCCTCAGCTCTTCAGCTCAAGGCTAGCACGCTACCACTTGAGCCATAGCACCACTTCTGGCTTTTTCTGCTTATGTGGTGCTGAGGAATCGAACCCAGAGCCTCATGCATGTGGGGCAAGCATTCTACCACTGAGCCACCTTCCCAGCCCCGCGTAATAACTTAGTAGTTCCCCTCAATCTATCTCCTCTTTCCCAGGCCCTAGAAGCTGTCAGGAGCTGCTGAGCCACGGTGCCACCCTGAGTGGCTGGTACCAAGTATGCCTACCAGTGGGCAGGGCCCTCTGGGTCTACTGCGACATGGACACCACAGGAGGTGGCTGGTTGGTGAGTGAAAAGGCCAGGTTCAGTGGTCACTTCTCCCCCTGACCCCTAGGGGGAGCCAGTGCCCGCTGGCCCAAGACACTCCTCAGAGGAATTCTCTGACAAAAGTTTGCTGAGCTCCTGCACTAAAGAAGTTTAAGAAGGCTTACCAGAGGAGAGGCCATTTGAAAGGAGCTTGAAGGCTGTGTAGAAGCATTTTCTAGGTAGAAGAAAAGATCAACTCAGCTGAGCGCCAGGGACTTATGCCTGTAAGGCTAGCTACTCAGGAGGCTGAGATCTGCAGATCATAGTTTAAAGCCAGCCCCGACAGAAAAGTCCATGAGACTTTTATCGCCAGTTAGCTAACAGAAAATTCAAAGTGGCAATATGCTCAAAGTGGTAGAATATTAGCCTTGAGCATAAAAGCTCAGGGACAGCGCCCAGACCCTGCAAGCCCCATGACTGACAAAAAAAAAAAAAGAAAAAAAGAGATGATTCAAGATATACCATGCAGGCACATTGCACCCAGCTTTTTTTTTTCCCTGTCAGTCATGGTGCTTGAACTCTGGGCCTGAGTGCTGTCCCTCAGCTCTTCAGCTTAA